AAAAAAATGTGTGTATGAGCACCAGAAGGTGACTACTGCAACCCTCTCTACATGGGGCTCCCCTTGAGGAGCACTCAGAGGCTCCAACTGGTGCAGAATGCGGCCGCGCGCGTACTTATGGGGGCGACATGGAGCTCCCACGTGACACCTCTCCTGCGCGAGCTGCATTGGCTTCCAGTGGTCTTCTGGGTGCGCTTCAAGGTATTGGTTCTCATCTTCAAAGCGCTCCATGGCTTAGGGCCCGGTTATTTACGAGACCACCTTCTGCCACCGATAACCTCCCACCGGCCAATACGCTCCCACAGAGAGGGCCTCCTCAGGGTGCCAGCGGTCAGGCAATGTCGGCTGGTGACCCCCCGGGGAAGAGCCTTCTCTGTGGGGGCACCCGCCCTCTGGAATGAGCTACCCCCAGGGATACAACTGATCCCGGACCTCCGGACCTTCCGCCGGGCCCTGAAGACTTTTTATTTCAGCAAGCCAGGCTGGGTTAAAAATTTTTAATTGGGGAATTTTATGGGTAAGGGGTTTTAAATTGGGGAAGCCAAAGATAAATTTAATTTCGTTTTATAGTATTTTAATATTTGTATTGTGTGTTTTTAATTTTGGCTGTTCACCGCCCCGAGTCCTTCGGGAGAGGGGGCGGTATAAATATTAAATAAATAAATAAATAAATAAATAAATAAGGACTCATAGTGAATGCTGTGGCAGAGAAAAGCTGAACTTTTCTCCCTCCATTCATAGCCGAGCTGCTGCTCCCTTTATGATCCCCTCCTGGCCCCCTCCCTCCCGGGGACTAGCTTAAAGGAATGGGTTGAGTGGCCAGAAGGGGTGAGCAAGCGGCTGGAAGGGGTGAGCAGCGAGCGGGCGCAGGACCAACCAGGGGTGGTTTTTACTGGTTCGGCGAACCGATTCAAATCGTCCCTACTGGTTTGCCCGAGCCAGTCTGAACCGGTCAAATTTCACCCCTGATGCAGGGGGAGATGAGGTCTTCTCTTAATACATCAACCACCCCTGAAATCTAGGAAAAGCTTCCTTTGTCATCGTCAGAAGGCTTTGAAGAATTCTATGGATCTATGGAAAGCTATGAGAACCAATTCTGGATGGGACCAATGGGCGAGGCGGCCCCTGGCTCTGAAGAAAGCTGGGAAGTATGGAAGTTTTTGAATAGACTGCGCACGGATACAACAAGATCCAGAGACCTCCTGAACAAATGGGGCTATCCTGTGGCTTCTTCTCTTTGAGATTGTGGTGACATGCAGACAATAACACACATATATATATATATATACCCTTTGTGCCCTGATCAGTGTACACTAGGGATGGGTTCTACTTACTTTTACTACCGGTTCACTGGTTGCAGATCAACTTTGATGACATCCGGGTCAGTGGGTGGAGCCTCCCGCCGGTTTTATTACCGGTTCTTGTGAACCGATCCGAACTGGGGGCGACCCACCACTGATGTACACCTGAGGACCTCATGGGAGAATGACAGAAACAATTAATGTTGCTAGTTTCTGGGCAAGATCTGTTCAATCTGTACATGTTTTCATCTTGTATTTTATATTTTAAGTTTTATATCATACAGTGTGCCTTGTTTTAATTGTGATGCCTCTGACACAAATAAACCAACCAACCAACTCCTATTTACATGTTTGAAGCTTGCTCCCACGGTCCCTTTGAGACTGAAAGCTGGCTTGGTTTGAACACAAGCCACAATTTCCCTCTCTATTCTCATTTTGTCCTGAATTTTAAACTGCCAGCTTATTTCTTTGCTGCCTTGATATATCTAAAGGGTTTTGAAGCAGTGCTGGAGGCAAGCTGGACTCAAACCAAAGAAATCACAAGACATCCAAAGAAATGATAATCCACTAGATCAATGCAATAATTTCCCTAAAGAATAAAATTCTAATTATATGCCTCCTAGCTTTGTGTTTCAGGAAAACTTTCACCCCTTTTCAACCTTTTTTCCTCTTTTTTTAATTTTGGCAATTATCCTGCATTGCAAATGATGTTTCCCTCCCAAGAAAGTTTGCTTTATGAATTTAATCAAACTCCTCCAAGCAGCTTCAAAGGATGGAAAAATCTAAAGGGAGGGAAGAATGATTTTGTTTTTCGGAGGTTGATAATTGTGGATCAGACCTAAAACAGAAATATGACAGACAGGTGCACGTAGATTGTTCTGCATCACTTTATTCTATTATTCATTGCTTGACAACAGGAAAGCAGAATAACCAACTGGTGATTAAGGAGATAAAAATAATTGCATTTGTAAAACGCCAAGATCCAAATTTAATCTCTCGAATTGATTAGATAAATATGTGTGGGAGAAGGAAATCACCAGGGTTGAATGTCTATATGGAAATAAGATTCAGCTATCAGTACTATCAGTATTGTTGTGTATGTGTTTGTGTGTGTGTGAATTCTAGACATTTGTCTTCCTGTTCTCTTGGGAAAATTGGAATTACAAATAACTCAACAGAACCGTAACATTAAGCAAATTTCTACTGGATGACTACTCAGACCTATTTACTCTGTTTTTACTACAAAGCAAACTTAATTAACTAACTGCACGAAATAATCGAGGATGTCATATTGTTATTTTAAACTTCGATTGATTTATTCTATGCCTTGGATAACAATAGGTGCAGTTTCTGGTTTTGGAATGTTAGAATACTGAAATCAAAAGCTTTAGAACATGATCTTACAGAATGCAAAGTACTATAATGTCAGCAACACTCTATAGAGTACAGGAAAAAAAAAATTACAGCACTGGCATTCTGAAACAGAACAACAACAACAAAAGTTTGCTTACTTTCTGAAAGAAATCCACCTTTGATTTAAGAAGGTGCAAAATATGGTAGATTGGCACGTGCAGCTGATAGGGTTGCCAGGTCTGCTTCCAAAAAATAGCGGACAAGCGGGGGGGGGGCGTGTTAAGTAGTAAAAAAAATTTAAAAAAATTTACAATTAAATTATATATTTTCTTACAAACATTTTAACATGTATTAAAATAATCACTTCAAAACTTTACTTAAAATTCAAAACATCAAATATATTAAATAATATGTAAAATATTAAATTACATTTTACTTTGCTGTCGTGTGTATTTTTTATTTGACTGCGCAGCTTTGATCAATTCTTTGTTTTTAAGGAATAATTCTTTAATTTCAGTACAACGTTGAGAAATATTAAAAAATACAAAGTTCACTTCGAACTGATACAAGCAGTCGGTTATGTTCGTCAGCCCACAAATTTCCCATGACGCTGAAAATTCGTTCAACATTTGCATTTGATACCGGAATTGATGCACAATACTGGAACAGTTTCAGTAAACTCAGAGCTGGCTCTTTCTTGAAAAAGTACGTCCACTTATCAAAGGATGAATCGCCCTGCAGATGAACATAAACTTCTTCTAAGGCAGAAATTTCATCGAAGTGAGTGTTGGGTGGAAGTTCTTCTCACCATGGTGATAATAACCAGATGTTCGTCATTTCTTCTAAAGTTGGAGGATTATTGCGATCAATTAGATTGAAACAATTTAGCGTCTCATATACTGAATCGGTGAAACTATACCACTTTTCTAGGTACGCAATGGCTCTTTGATACATGTTGATGGCTTCTTTCTTGAACTTTTGCACGGCATTCTCAGGCAAATGTTTTTTATGTAAGGCAAATAAAACTTTCATTCCAAAAAACTGCTCATCGTATTTTTTTTTTGCAAAGAATCAAGCAGCTTACACATGATAATGTGAAGATCACATGAAAGAATTTTCTTGCTTTCCAGCTTCAGTAGGGTGTCTTGCATTATTGACATGAAGAAGTGCGTGAAATATAAATACAATTCTGAAATTGTTGGTTCATCGTCCTTTGCGAGTTCATTTTCCTGATCCGAAATAAGATTCCAGATAATCTTATGGCACTCATCAGATCCAAGAGAAATAAAATACGATTTTAGAGGTATCCAGTTTAAAAGAAGTCTTTCGACCGCTTTAAACAAACTTAACCAATGTGTTGGAACATGGTGCAAAACTTCATGGAATTCTGACTCGCAAAACTCAAAAAATGATTTCAACTCTTCTCGTTTCTTCACAGAATTCGAAAATTCGGCAAAAACCTTCAGCACTACATTTTCGATATCAAAAGATAACTGCTTTAATGCATTTTTTGCACTGTTGTGTAAAATGTGATTATTGCAATGAGCATTCGATCTTTGTCTCATTCTAACTTATGAAAAAAAAGACAAAACGTGATTCTCCTATTCTTATTCTCTTAGACAGTACAGCTTTAGATTACATACCATTTCATCATCAAGCTTTTGAATAAAAAAAATGTCCACTATTTTGTGAAAAAAAACATTATTTGAAAATTCCAGTCTGGGTATCAACGATTGAAGCATTTTCACATTTAACACATTTAGAAGGGAACAAATTGTTAGATATAGTGAATTATTGGATGAAAAGGGTGAAGTTAAATTGAAGCAAGAACTGGAAGAACAAGGTTTAAAGATGAATTGGCTTTCTTATTTGCAAATACGTTCTAGATATGATAAAGATTGTAAGTCAGAAGGTATTTACAACACTTTGACTAATTTAGATAAAATCTTTATAGGCTCTGATGACTATGTAATTAAAAAATTGTATGGTAAAATTATGGTTTGGTAAAAAATAATATATTTTAATTTAATTTATTTAATTTTAATTTTAATTTTAAATTAAATTTTAAATTAAATTAAATTAAATTAAATTAAATTAAATTAAATTAAATTAAATTAAATTAAATTAAATAATTTAATTATTTAAAAAAAATAATAGTATGGTAAAAAATAAAAAATAAAAAAAATGTATGGTAAAAAAAATGGTAAAATTAGAGGTAAAATTGGAAGAAGAACAAGTTAAAGAAACAATGATTGCATGGGGAAAACATTTCGGTCATGGAATTGATTTAGAGAAATGGCAAAAATTGTGGTCGCAAAATTATAAAATGACAATGTCAACAGCATATAAGGAGATAAAACCCGAGATTTTTTATTAGGAATTATACCAGAACCATACAATAGAGAATTGAGATATTTGATTTGAATGCATTGACAGCGGCTAGAATTGTGTTTGCTAAGAACTGGAAAAATGAGAAAATAATTTTCTTTGGAATGATAATGCCATTGTTAAATAAATGACAAATGAGAATAATGATATAAAGATATATATTAGATTGATAATATGAGAAATTAGATAATTAGTAAAATATGATTATGGGGAAGAAGCACAAGGGATTTGTAGCCAACCGACACATTGCTTGAAATTGTAATGGATGAAGGATGTTTTATGTTTTGTTTGTTTAAAAAAAAATGCAAAAAAAAAAAGTTCAGTAATTTGAAATAACATCTAAGGGACCAAATGTCCAGATAGTGCAAAATTAGAAGGCTTATTCATCGTAAGGCTGGGAATTCTGTCTATGTAACTGAAGATGAGCTAGCTTAAAAAAAAACCTTACAATAAGCAAATCCCAATTAGATTTAGTGGCTTCTTTCAGTAATAGTGCAAAATCGATCGGTTTCTTTCACTGTTGACAAAACAGATTGCTTCATAAAAGGAGCACAGTTGGATAACATGAGGCCATTAGAAGCATTATCAATTCTGTTTTTAGGGATTATAGATAAAGCAAGCCAGAAGATGTGATATGAAAACGTAAAGGAAGTCCAGCTACTTCGGCTTCTTAACTTAGACAAAGTCTTTTCGATTTTTACCAGGTGCGATTAATCTTTGGGATGGTTAAGATTATTTCATTTTCAGGTTTCCGAATATGAATAAAAGCAATCGAACAATCCATCTGCCTTATTCTTCATCTGATTCGTTTATGAGGGGAGCATGTGCATTCTTTTCCTTCCGTATGCCAAGTCCAATCATAATTTGTCTGTGGCTCTTTTTACAATTCTGCAGGTAGCTGCGGACAATGAAAAGATAATTTTAATTAGTCCCACTGTAGTTCTGTTCAGCTGATTGCTTATGAGGTCATTTGGGGGGAAAGGAAACTGGGAGAAGCTTTCAACTTTCAAAAACCTTCTGCAAACAACCAGGATAATTGTCCTACAATGCGTACCTTCCGTCGCACGCTGAAGACGTTCCTATTCCAGCAAGCCGGCCTGACCTAAACTTCTCCTCTTTTAAATGGGAATTTTAAATTTGGTTTTAAATTATTGGGGTTTTAAATATGGTTCAGCCAAATTTATCTAACTTGTTTTATTTCTATTTTAAATTTTGTATTGATATGTTTTATTTCATGGCTGTTCACCGCCCTGAGTCCTTCGGGAGTAGGGCGGTATACAAATCTAATAAACTAAACTAAACTAAACTACAAGAAGGAGACGCTATTATCTCGCCACCCCACCCCACCCCAATGTCAACCATGAAGTTGGCTGAACTGTGGCCACTTTCTTTTTTGTAGTTTCTAGGGAGGTTTCTTTTCTCACTGCTTCAGGGATGACACAGCCTGGAGTGAAGGGGCCAGGGAGGGGGTTAAAGATTATCTGGGGTGTTGTAGCCTAAATAAAATTCTTTCCCCTGGGAATCAAGGACATCCGTGCAGGTGTCCGCAGGGTGGAGACTGAACTCATCTAGCAACTGGGCTGCATTCTGATTGGACCATGTGACTGAGACTCTGGGGGGAGGTGATGTTTTACTTTTAATAGGGGTGGGGGGTGGGGTGGGAAACCAGCGCCAACTTAGAGCCAGTTTTCCACGAGGAATATGCCAATTTGATATGTCCTAATAAAAATGTTCTTTGAGGGACTGGCCTGCCTCAGAGTTCTTCTTGAATGGGATGTATCTCTTGGAACCCTGAATACCCACTGTGTGAGGAAGAAGAAGAAGAAGAAGAAGAAGAAGAAGAAGAAGAAGAAGAAGAAGAAGAAGAAGAAGAAGAAGAGAAGAAGAAGAAGAAGAAGAAGAAGAAGAAGAAGAAGAAGAAGAAGAAAAGGGGTATATCAGAAAGAGAAGTAACAGGAAGAAAAGGAGAAAGAGAGGGGAAATGTAACAGAGAAAACAAGAGAGAGAAAGAAAGGTCCACTCATTTCTCATTCAGGTCCACACCTCCATGGGAGTCATCGCCCATAGTTTCTCCTTGAAAAAATGTGGCCCTTAGTAAACAGGTTCCCCATTCATATGTTATACTTGATGCTTGAGAAATCCACTTTGAAGAAAGTTCTGGAGTTGCCTAATGGGATTCTGGAAACATAGGAACTGAGTAGGTATGTTCTGGAAGGAAATATCCTCTTATTGAACTTCTCGGATTCTGAGGAAACCTTGTCTGATTGCAAAAAAGGAAGCTGTGCCCTACCTGACCCTAAATGGTTCCAATTGAAGACAGGTCTCCTTATGGCAGAGTCTTCAAACTTGGCAGCTTTAAGACTTGTGAACTTCAACTCCCAGAATTCTCCAGCCAGCATAGCATAGCTGGTGATGACGTAACGAAAGGGCTTTGGGCAAATCCTACTATGGCTCTGCTTGAAGGAGGCAGATCTTTGTTATGTAGAATAGGCTGGCCCAGGCCTTAATGGCAAAGGTGGGAGGGCTGAATTTCTGCCTCCCTTTTAGGGGAAATATTCTGCCCTTTTAATATTTCCTAAAATATCTCATTTTCCTAGGAGAGGGGTGGGTGCTAACTTCCTACAGTCTCTACCAGTGGTGGGTTTCAAATTTTTTTACTACTGGTTCTTGATGGGAGTGGCATGGCTTGGTGGGCACGGCAGGGGAAAGATACTGTAAAATCTCCACTCCCACCCCTCTCCAGGGGAAGGATACTGCAAAATCTCCATTCCCTCCCCACTCCAGGGTATAGGAATTTAGCACCCACCCCTTTCCTGGAAGAGTGAAATATTTTAGGAAATATGAAAAAGGCAGAATATTATATTTCCCTGCATGAGAAATGGAGAAGCATATTTTACAGACAAAGCAGCTCCCACCTTCCTGCCCCCCACCCTTTGTCAATGGGCCATTAAGGCCTGGGCCAGTCTATTCTACATAACAAAGATCTGCCTCCTTCAGACAGAGCCATAGTAGGAATTGCCAAAGATCCAACAAAGATAGGATTAGCCCTCTACACAACAGCAGAAGAAACTCACCCCATGTGACCTGGGAAGCACATGTGACCATCAGCCAGCAAGACCCCCACCCCCTGGGAGTCTGACAACCAATCAGGATACTCTTTCTGAGCCCCAGGAAGTTCAGAGCCAGAGAGAGCATAAAAACCCGAAGATTTACTGTATCTACCCCCTTTTCTGTTCAGGAACTCAAGCCATGTGATCCTGTCCACCATTAAACCATCTTTCCAAGCAGTCTCCATGTGCCAGGTGTCTTTTTCCCCACTTGGAGCAGAACCTAGAAGGAGATTTCTTCCAACAAGGGGAAGGTGCAAAATCCCCATTTCCTCCTGATCAGCTGGGACTTGGGAGGCAGAGAATAGATGGGGTATTTACCAGTATTTACCAGTTCTCCGAACTATTCAAACTTTCTGCTACCGGTTCTCCAGAACTGCTCAGAACCCTGCTGAATGCTGTCACTGGACAACCACCAGAGGAAGCAACGTTTCTTATATTCCTTCATCTATTCTTTTATTCCTTTTGCAAGTCTCCGCATACCCCTTTATTCAAGGACATAATGTTGATCAGGAATGTATTATTCCAGAAAATTTACCAATAGACCAGGGAATAATTCACTGCCGTAATGAAGATTGCAAGGGCAAAATGCCAGCAGAAGCACATGGTGATGAACATTAAGTTGCTGTGGTCATTCAGATCCCATTCTGATCCTCCCCATGGTGGATACAACACAAAACCTATCTGGATTAAAAAAAAAAAGAGTATTTATGATCTATGCAATTGATAGGCATGTCAAGTCTTGGGGTAAAGCACGAATGGCAAACATTGAGTTTAGAAGCTGTCCAGCATAAAAATAATTCATCTAACACCTTATTTAATATATGTTTTACCCCACACTTCTCCTTTCCCAACAATGTCCAAGTTCTGATGATATTCTAATAAAGAGATTAGAGGCCAGTGAGGCAGTGTTTAAACAGAACTATGATTACGTTACTACTTTGGAACTCTGAATTAGCTAAACTTCGATGCTCAAATCAGTTCATATTGGCTGTATATCAGTGTTGAAATCCAACAATTTTTTACTACCATTCTGTGGGCGTAGCTTGGTGGGCGTGGTGTGGCTTGGTGAGCGTGGCTTGGTAGATATGGCAGGGGAACGATACTGCAAAATCTCCATTCCCACCCCACTCCAGGGGAAGGATACTGCAAAACCCCCTTTCCCACCCCACTCCTGGGGGACGAATATTGCAAAATCTCCATTCCCACCCCATTCTGGGGCCAGCCAGAGGTGGTATTTGCCGGTTTTCCGAACTACTCAAAATTTCCGCTACCGGTTCTCCAGCACCTATTAGAACCTGCTGGATTTCACCCCTGCTGTATATGTATATACCTGTATATAATATCTTAACCATTAAGAGCTAGAGAGATAAAAGCCACAACCAGAAATGATATCATTGGCAGCAAGGCATTATAGCTGGTCTATGTTCATCAAGGTGCTAACACTAAACCTTTTGGCCAGTAACCATTAATTGCTGCACTCCATGTGGTCATTCACCCCTTGCTTGAGGACATAGTCCTGGACTTCCTCTTCAGGTCTGTTCTAAGCTACCCCATGCTTTATATAGTAGATTCAAAGGGGTTCCCATGACTTGCCTCAAACCTTAGCTTCTTGGCCATGGTCAACAGCAAAGCTAATTCAATAAGAAAACTGAACAAATAGCCCACCTGCCAAAGCCAGGTTCCTTGCAAGAGGGCCAGGCAAACTGCAAATAAGTCCAGAATCATGTTGTCATGCACGAAGACTTGCAGGAAGCAGGTGGCAACACCAGCAAAGATGGCTATCAGGAGCATGGAATGGATGTGTTGATCAAGCATTGGCCGTTGGCTGATATGATATTTGAAGAGGAAGCCTATTAAAATGCAGAAGTTGTTCAAAACTACAATTGTTTTCAAGAAAAACCTTTATACCTTAACATTTTTTATGGCAATTTCACCAAAGATTACAATTTCCAATTAAAAAAAAAACCTAATACACATAAAGGAGAATAAAAAGAGAAAATAAAAAGTGCAGAAGAAAAACTGGAAAAGGAAGAAAATAAGAATGCTATATATAAAAGGAAAAGACTTTCTCCTTTATCACAAGTATAACCATTTTGGTTGGACATTCTCTTAAATTAGAATAAATGACCTCTTCTTCCCATATCTCATATGTCCCCTATAAATAAATCCATAAAAACCTCAACATTTCAGTCCTGATGTCAGTGAAAGTTCATTAAGTCTTATCAGAGATGACATATCTATTTTAACCTTGATCAAATAAACCAGCTTTATATTTCTTCCTTTTTACTTTTAACAATCTTGATCTTTAAACAAATAATGCTATTCCATTTTTCCTTTGTCCCTTCTCACAAAATTCTTCATTCTGCTGCAATTGTTGCTCTGGGTCATTTCTTCATCATTCTTGTGGACATTGATCCTAAGGTCAGGAGAAGCTAGTCTACTAATTCAGGCCCTATATGGGGTGATCATTAGAAATCAAGCAGTCATTCAATCAGACATTCAAACAGCCAGCCAGCCAGCCAGTCAGTATATTTGTGTATGTGTATATATATTTGTCTGTCTATATATCTGTCTATCTATATCTATATCTATCTACATATATCTATATCTATATCTATATCTATATCTATATCTATATCTATATCTATATCTATATCTATATCTATATCATCTATATATCTACATCTACATCTATCTATCTATCTATCTATCTATCTATCTATCTATCTATCTATCGTGTGTTAAACCCACCATCCTGGGCCCAACATTTGGGAAGCCAGGCTCTGCCTGTCACAAGTCAGGACAAAGGGTGAGTGATGGAGGAGTTACACCTCCTTAAAAAAAATTGGCTCGGCTGGCCCGGCTGGTAATACCTTGCAGGGGTCCCTTTCCAGGGTTACAAGAGTACTAATACTGGCAATAGGTATAAAATGCCTTCGACAACCGATGGAGTGACACATTGGTTGGACTATCAGTTGGACAAATTTTGGGTCTGAATAGAAGGGAATCCCCCAGAAGTGACACATGCTACCCCCTTCCCCCCCCCGAGAGACATGGGAAATTTCTGAGGCCTACCCATCTTTGGACAGGACGGGCTAAAGAAGTTAGTCTATCTACATATTGAGACCATCAATATTGGAACAATGACTGGGAGAAGCTGAGAAGTGGCCAAAACCCTGAAGGCCTGCTGCATTGACATCACATGTATCCAAGAGATGAAGCAGAAAGTAGTGAAAGCTCGAGAGATTGATGAAGGATACAAACTATATTATAAAAGAGAAAGCCGCACTTGGATTGGTGTTGGTATTGTGATCAGTGAGAAGCATTGGAACAATGTTGTCGATGTCCGTTGAATATCCGATCAATTCATGACCATCAAAATCAAAACTACTCTCCAATGGGTCACATGCTATGTCCCCCAAATTGGATGCCCAGAAGAAGAGACGGATGAATTTTGGGAAAGGTTGGATGCCCATCTGCGAACTGTTGGTCCCGAAGAACACATAGTATTAGGAGGTTGACCTCAATGGCCATGTTGAATCAGCAAGAGATGGTTACAGCCAATGTCATGGTGGAAATGAGTTTGGATCTCGCGACGATGCTGGGATCCAGATCTTGGGCTGTGCCGAAGCACACGAGCTAGTAGTGGCCAACATATTCTTCAAGAAGAGGCCTACACATCTCATCACCTACAACAGTGGTGGGCACAGAATTCAAATTGATTACCTGATCGTGAGACAATACAATCTGAAATTGGTGTGCCAAATAAAAAAAAACCCCCTCGTAAGGAAACCATCCCCCCCCCCCCCCCCCCCCCCCATCATGGACCTCCGGTTGGACATTCTAGGCCAAAAGTGATCCTGAATCACTGGAGTGGAGCAGATAAAATGATGGCACTTACTGGAGCACAAAGCTCAGTTTGTGGCTGCCCTTGGTCCCATCGATATGGACATGGACCAGCCAGCATCGGCCATGTGGGACAAATTGGTCAGACAAGTGCACGCTGCAGTGACTGTTGTCCTTGGGAAGACGAAGCCAGGGAAACGGGCCATCGATAAGCAAGGTTAGTGGTGGAATGAATGGCAGACCCAAGAAAAGATGGATGGACTGCATCAAGGAGGACATGAAATATGTGGGTGTCACCCCTGGATCAAAGCAGATGGAGACGGCTTTGCCGACAAGCGTACCCTGCCATAGCGGCAATAATGCTAGGAAGATGTGTTTGTGTGTATGTGTAAATGTGGGTGTGGTGAAAATAATAGGTAAAGTGATAAAATGCCTGTTTTTCAATTCCTATCAGCGATCTTTGTATACTTATGACAAAATTTATCAACAAAATTTGTGTTCACCATAAGACAAAAAAGAGTATTTTGAAAGCTGGTTCTGCAGGATCCTTACATCAAAGTCGAATAATGGAATCCTTCAGTAGTAAAGGAAATACATTTTGAGGAAGTGTTTTGGAAGAGTACATAAAGTACCAGTTTTATTGCTCTCCTGAGGAAAAATAATTAAAAAAAATAAAAAGGCAACACCTTGTGTCGTGAGGCAATGCCCTATGAAGCTAACCGCTGAATAAAACAATAAGGATAATGAAAACGCATTAACCTACAACATAGGCAGAAACTACAGGTAAAATAAACTACAAACCAAAAAATATTTAACAAGCGAAAAGCACGGAGCAATTGGCTCAACATACAGAATGCTGACTAACAGAGCCAGAAAAGGCCTTGGAGGTCTTCTGGTCCAACCCCTCGCTCGAGCAGGAGATCCTATACTAGAGGTTCCCAACCTGTGGGCCATGGCCCACTAGTGGGTCATGAGGGATTTGCAACGGGACCGTGGAAACAGCCAGCGAGCATACGGGCATGCGTATCTGCTTGTGCGAGCAGCAGGCGAGCACGTCCACACATGCTTCATTGGCATGAGTGGTAGGGGCACACTGCTAGTGGAAATGGAGCTGTGCATGGGCACACTTGCCGGCTGCTTGTGCAAACCATCCTCTCCCGCCCACCCCTGCTGGTCTGCAAAACCAGAAACGTTGGGGAACTCTGTCCGATACCATTTCAGACAAATGGTTGTCTAATCTTTTCTTAAAAACCTCCAGTGATGCAGCACCCTCAATAACCTACAGATGGGGGCCTGGTGGTTAGAATGCAGTATTGCAGGGAAATTCTGCCCGCAAGATGGAGTACGATCCTGACGGAGCTCAAGGTTGACTTAGCCTTCCATCCTTTCAAGATCGATAAAATGAGGACCCAGATTGTTGTGGGCAAGATGCTGACATTGCAAAGTGCCCAGAGAGTGCTGTAAAGCACTATGGTGCATTACATAGACCTAAATGTTATTGCTATAATTAGAGAAAAGGAAGACATCCAAGCTGAGAGAACAGGATGTTCCTCAGCAGTCATGGAGAAGGTCTTATTTGCCATCCTAAACTGCATTAACAGTCTTGACTAGTCAAGATCAAGGGAGTCAAGATCAAGCGAGTCAGGATCAAGGGAGGTACTAATACCACCCTATAAAGCCTTAGTAAGACCACATCTAGAATACTGAATCCAGTTTTGGTCACCACAATATAAAAAAAAAATGTTGAGACTCTAGAAAGAGTGCAGAGAAAAGCAACCAAGATGATTAGGGGACTGGAAGCTAAAACGTATGAAGTTTGGGCATGGCTAGTCTAGTGAAGAGAAGAGAAGGATCAGGGCAAACATGACACCAGTGTTCCAATACTTGAGGGGCTGCCACAGAGAGGAGGGAGTCAAGCTATTTTCCAAAGCACCCAAAGGCCAGACAAGGAATAATGGATGGAAACTGATCCAGGAGAGATTCAACCTGGAAATAAGGAGAAATTTTCTGACAGTGAGAACAATCAACCGATGGAACAGAAGTTGCCTTTGGAAGTTGTGCAAGCTTCATCACTGGAAGCTTTCAAGAAGAGACTGGACTGCCATCTGTCAGAAATGGTGTAGGGTCTGCTTGGGCGGGTGGTTGGACTAGATGACCTGCAAGGTCCCTTCCAACTCTGTTAATCTGTATCTGTATCAGTTGCCAAGCACCTGAATTTTGATCACATGATCGTAGGGATGCTACAAAGGCTGCAAGTTTGAAAAATGTTTGTAAGTCATTTTTTCCCCCAGTGCCATTGTAACTTTGAATGGTCAGTAAATGAACTGTTGTAAGTTGAGGACTACCTGTACTTTACTACTGCCTCTCCATTTGTGCCTACCTTCCACAAAGAGTGCAATGCCCAGCATGAAGCGGTCCAGCCCGGCAGGCATTAAGGTCGAGGAGTAGGTGACTATATCCACTGCTCCAGAGATCAAAAAGAATAAATACATGGTGGAATGTTGCCAGTTCATCAGCTTCACCCAATGGTGTGGTTGCCCGCTGTAGAGATACAGGTGGGGTCCGTTGGGGACGAACTGGTCAGCAAGAAGCCCTGTTCAACAGAGACCAAAGTGGAATAGATCTGTTAGGGAAGTTCCATCCGAAGGGAAAGAAACAGGGTAAAGCCCAGCGATGTCACAGGGTGTACCCCAAAGGTGCTTCTTTCAAGAGGCAACTGGCATTTCTGTTTTTTCTTTGAAAACGTTTCGCTTCTCATCTGAAGAAGCTTCTTGGATGAGAAGCGAAGAAAAACCAGAAAGGCCAGCTGCCTCTTGAAAGAAGCACCTTTGGGACAACCAGGACCTGGATGACTGAGAATCTCCATAGAGTTTTTAAAACCTTGAGGTGTGACACACATCCAAAACAGGTAGAGCTTCCATCACCTTTTGTTGTGGCCTGCCAGACTCAAACAATGAGGAACTTGGGGCGGAACTTGGGACAGTCCTGGAGTCTGGGGAAGGCTCTGATGGATGCTCTGCGTCGGAAGCAGAGATAGAGCCAGGGCCGTCCGACATTTCCCAGCTGCCTTCAGAGTTGGAGATAAGTGGGGAAGAAGAACAGCTGGGGCCTGTTCCAGATGTGCATATGCGCAGAGCTGTCAGGAGAGGAGAACAACTGAGGAACTGGGGCCGACTCGGAAAGAAAGGCACACGTGGACGCTGAATGGCCCCTCCCTGGCTGGGGAATAAATAGAAGCAAAAAGCAGAGTGGTAGTTGCAGGAGACAACCGTTCGTATTTCTTTCGGAAGATTTGCTTATGGTGGTTGTGCCTCAGAGACTTCTTGCCAGGAATTAATTGACAGCTTTGCGACTGGAAGCTCTCAGCCTGGCAATTATCCAAGGACTGATAAGGGCTGTTATTGCAATTAACGCTTGGAAGGATTATTGCCTGGACTTTTCTGTGTGTGAATGCCATGAATTCACAGTAACTAAATAAAGAGGGTTTTTTTTCAGGACAAGGAATCTGTTTCTTGGTTCGGCTAAGGCTGAGTCAGAACACATTTGTTGGTGCTAACCTGGACTTTTTTTTAAAAGCACCCCGTGAATACCACCAGCAAAATTAAGGTAGCGTTGTGAGCAGGTGTGGGTTCTACTTACCTTTACCACTGGTTCACCAAGGGATCACGTGCACAGATCGCTGATGATGACATCCAGGGCGGTGGGCGGGGCCTCCCATCGGTTTTACTCCCGGTTCTTGCGAACCGGTCCGAACCGGGGACAACCCACCAGTGGTTGTGAGTATGTAGCAGGAACTGTTGAAATTTTTCCAAGCTTTGGGAATGCTTTTCCAGTGACAGCCAATGCTTTTCTTTCAACCTGTTCTTTCTAACTGCTTCTGTTTGATTGCAAGACTTTGTACCCTACCTTCAGCTAAAAAAGCAAGCAAACCTCGCCATCTGTATGTTCAACACATTTTCTTTTTATATTCAAAATATTGACACGAAATAATTTTAAAAAACCAACAGCAACGACCAGGGGAATAAAAAAAGGTGGGTGGGTGCATAATCTGCAGCGAATAACCCCAAGTTTACTTCAGATGATAAATTTTAAGTGGATCTTGAAACAGTGCAGTTAAGGATATAATTTGGCTGCTTAATTGGCTAGATATATTCATTAAAACAATTTGATTGTTACCAAAGAATGAAGTAGCAGAATTTATAACATTATTAATTCAACTGCATATCAAAGCTGCATATGACAAAAACCCACTTCCTTTGTACAAGTCTTATTTAAATTTCCATTTAGCAGTAAATTTAACACCTCATTAGAAACAAACCCTACACAGGTTGACCTCATTGGCTGTGAAATTCCAGAGATACAATTTGAAGAGTTTTTTTTTTTTAAAAATTGATTTATATGCCGCCCTTCTCCGGAGACTCAGGGCGGCTTACAGTGCGTTAAGCAATAGCCTTCATACTTTTGTATATTTTATACAAAGTCAGCTTATTGCCCCCACAAACTGGGTCCTCAATTTACCCACCTTAGAAAGGATGGAAGGCTGAGTCAACCTTGAGCCTGGGGAGATTCGAACTTGCAATAATTGCAGACAGCTGAATGTTAATAACAGGCTTTTAGTCTGTTGAGCTATCCAGGCTCTTATGTTGATTTTGCAAGCTGCAATGAATTACGCAAATAACCTCACTTTTAGTTTACCCTCCAGATTTCTTTGATGTAGGTCAGGTGTCTCCCACCTTGGCAACTTTAAGACTTCTGGACTTCAACTCCCAGAATTCTTCAGCCAGAGTTTTAAAGTTGCCAAGGGGAGGGAGGGAGACCTGTGAAGTAGGTGATTGGTTTGCTTAAAATGCACAAATTCAAAGCAAAGGGAGTGATAAGCAGCTACCCTCAAATCAGAGGTTGGTTGTAGCAGGTTCTGACCAGTTCTGGAGAACTGGTAGCAGAAATTTTGAGTAGTTCGGAGAACTGGTAGTAAAAATTCTGACTGGCCCCTGCCCCCATTTATTCTCTGCCTCCCAAGTCCCAGTTGATTGGGAGGAAATGGGGATTTTGCAGTAACCTTCCCCTGGCATGGGGTGGGAATGGAGATTTTACAGTATCCTTCCACTGCTATGTCCACAGAGCCATGCCCACAAAGCCACACGCACAGAACCGGTAGTAAAAAATTTGAAACCACCACTGCTTCAAATAACTTAAGCCAGTTGTCATATTGTGAGTCTTACCTACTAATGCAAAGAAAACTTTGACAGCCCCTTCGATGATCTCCAGATGTTTGATGTTCCGCTGTACGTGACTGTTCTTCTTCGGTGTCCTGCTGATATGTTTTAGCGGGTATTTCACTGACCACCAGAGGCCAAATAATATAAAGAAACACCCTGGGAGAATATGGCCCTCAAAATTTGCCATTCTGGTCCAGTCACTTCCTGGAGAAAAGAATATCCTCTTGTTAGAATCATTCAGAGAACTGTAAATGTGTGACTCCAGTACAACTGAGGTTGTGAGTCCAATACAACTATTTATGAAGAAATAATCGCTTCTGGAAAGAACAGGACCTGGAACAACTGGTTTCTCTCTTTGGAATCAATTCTTCCCTTTCAGGTTTGAAGTTCTGTCCTTCTTACCATCTCAGTTTGCAATTCCTCTACCAGTTTGAGATGCGTCTTTCTTTTCCTTCTTCCTTTTAATTTGCTATGTGGAACTGTGGATGTCAATCCTATGAGCTAGACCAGGTCAAGAATCCAAGGAATCTCCCTTACTTTGGAAGCCTATATCAACACAGAATTTGGAAAACCCATCCATGACCTTTACTGGCCCCTTTTAAATTCATTTTGGGTCTTGGGTTCTTTTAACTATACTCAATTTAGGGGGATCTACAGATCCAATAACACAAGTCCCCAAACAATAAACACAAACAAGCATTCACAGCTATTACCCACTACTTCACTCTTCCCCACTGCCACTACACTTTCTATTCTGTTTGGTGATGGATCTAGCCCAATAACTCACAGACAAATTCTCTTTCACAATTGAATTCCTTTATTGCAAGCCTAGATGAATCCTAGGCCTTATAGAGCCAGAGGTCACTGACCTTAGACCTTTCTCTTTCAGGTACACATCTGGAACGACTAGAATACCTCGTGGTGAGAGCTATTATACCCAGGAGGAGGGGCCAGAAGGTAAGGAGTGGCTATGGGACTGATGGGTTATGTGGCTAGTTAACCCCTACAGAGCCATATGTCCAGGGTGGCAATACACTTAGGCATTTACCATGACAAAACCCCCTCTAAATGTCTAACTGGGTACAGGTATACAATGGTTACATACATACATACAAGTTATATACATGTATATGCGTAGGTTACATAGAAACACATATTTTTGACATGAGGTATGCATGCTGTTTATGTGGTAAGGGCTTTGTGAGTATGTCTGCAATTTGCTCCTCAGTATCGCAGTGTACGGTCTTAATGAAACCTATTTCTGAGAACTGCCTGACATGTTTGCATTTGATGTCAGTGTGCCTTGGCCACTGACCTACGGCATCGGCTCTTGAAATTTCTATTGCTGCTTTGTTATCTTCGTGAATGATTATTGGGTATGAAGGTTCAGTCCAAATACTGTTGACCAGGTCGTCGAACCATACCAGGTTGTTTGCGGCCTTGGGTAGGCAAACAAATTCTGCTTCAGTGGTTGAGGTGGCTACCAGTTTCTGCTTCCCTGTATACCAGTGAATGGGGCAGTTGTTAAGCAGCAGCACATAGCTGGAAGTACTTTTCCTGCTTTTTATGTCCCAAGCCCAATCAGCATCAGTGTAGCAGGTCAGTTTCGGTTTTTCGGATATTTCTGGTTCGAGGCAGAGCTGGGCATTTATGCTGAATTTTAGGTACCTAAGCAATCTTTTGATGGCATTCCAGTGGGATATGGTAGGCTTGCTTACGTGCCTGGACAGTAAGTTAACGGCTAAGGCGATGTCAGGCCTGGTCCAATTGGCTATATACAGCAGTGACCCTATAGTTGATCTGTACAACTTATTGTCAGCGAAGGGTTCTGATTCATCATACATACTCTTCAGGAACTGTGGCTGCATGGGAGTTTCACTGGGTTTTGCCTCAGACATGTTACACTTTGATAGTAATTCGATGATTTTTTCTTCCTGGGAAAGGCGGAATCCTTTGTCAGTTTTTATCACGTGAACTCCTAGATACTTATTGATTTTGCCTAGTGATGTCAAGGAGAAGTGGCTCCCCAGTTCAGTGGCGAATTTGTTACATCTGTCTTTATGCTTGCCTATGTACAAAATATCGTCCACGTAAACTAGTACACCTTCGAATGAGTTATTTTCTTTCTTTGTAAAAAGGCATTTGTCGGCTGAGGTGGCTTCAAAACCCATGGATCTGAGGGCTTTGGCTAGGCTAGGCAATCATACCACCTCTTGCCCAAGCCATATAGGCTTTTATTCAGCAGCCAAGTCTTGTTCTCCCCTTCGTTATATCCGGGTGGTGCTTTGACGTATATCTCTTTGTCCAATTCGGTGTGAAGGTACGCAGTCTGTACATCGAATTGGAATACTTCCATCCCCGGATGGTGGCCACCACCAGGGCACTCTTGACACTTTCGGCCCTGACGGTAGGTGAGTAGGTGTCGGTGTAATCTTCGGGGTATCTCTGGGCAAAACCCTGTGCAACCAGTCTCGCCTTGTACAGGGCCTTATTGTCCTCTAGTGTCTTGACCCTGAACACCCATTTGGTTCCTATCGGCTTTTTGTTCTCTGGAACTTGGGCGGGCGAATACACTTGCAGGTTCCTGAGGCTCTCCAGCTCCCTCTCCATGGCTGATATCCACTTCTCTCTCTCTTCCTGGGGAAGGCCAAGTATGTCCTCATATGAATTGGGTGTGGTGTGGTTATTATGGATGGTCATGATGTAATCTTCCAGTCTCTTTGGTGGTTTGTTCCTGTTCTCTCTGATTGGTCTACTAGGGGTTGGCTCGGTCTCTTGCATGTTGTTTGCCTCTTTGTTTGTCAGGCTATCTAGCTTCTTTCCATTCTTTGATGTTCACTTTGTGGTGGTTGGTTTTGTGTGCTTCCACCTTCTCTCCCCACTGACCATGTTCAAGTGTGTTTCTATTGGCGAGGATGTCGTTGGAATGGACCCTCGACCAGTTTGTGTTTTCGTGAAAATCAGCAGACTTGGATACGACAAACCTGTTGTTGTTGTCGATGAACCTGTAGCCCTTAGTGCCTGGTTCATAACCCACAAACCTCAGTCTCTTTGATATTTTCTCTCCATTCTTTCTCAGTTGTCTGGGGATGTGGACATCAGCTAGGGTGCCAAATATATGCAGATGTGCTATGTTGGGCTTTCTGTTGTATAGCATCTCGTATGGGGTCTTGTTGATGGAGCTTGACCACAGTCTATTAGAGTGTAATTGGAGTAGTGCAATGCCTCTGACCAAAAATGCTGTCCCATCCCAGCATCCTCCAAGGCGCACCTCATCATCGTTTGTAACACCATGTTTTTTCTCTCTACGACCCCGTTCTGGAAGGGCGAGAACGGCGAAGAGGTGTAATGCGCTATGCCCCGCTCCCTCAGCCACCTTGTGAATTCCTTGGCCATAAACTCCGAGCCCCTGTCTGTCATTATTTGCCTTATTTTCATATTGTGTTGCATTTCTATTCTTTTGTGGAACTCTCTGAATCTTTGGAACACCTAGTTTTTGTGTCTGAGACATACCCATATCTGGTAAAGTCATCCACAATGGTGCAGAAGAATCGTTTCCTATGCCTGACAGATGGTTTCAATGGCCCTACCAAGTCCATATGTACTAATTGGAAGGGGGACCCGGTGGTTCGTTTTGACCTTTTGGGTATGGCCTTAACTCTAATCTTTGAACGCTTACAGATTGAACACTCCAGGTAATTTTCACAGTTCTTTACTTTGAGGCCTTCGGTACACTCTGACATTCTTTTTACAATAGGAAAGCTGATGTGTCCCAGCCTTCTGTGAAGGAGGTGGGCGCAGTTATCATGCAATGGCTTCCCAATGGATACAGAATTATTAACATTTTGTTTACATTTCGTTGCCCTCTGCTGTACCTCCTCTGTTTCTGTGTTTTCATCTGCTTTGTGGTCTGTACTAGTGTTGATGCTTCCTTCCTCTCTTGTGTCGGGTGTGAAGTAGGGTAGGCCCTCATGCATGGTCACCTTTCCTATCTCCTCCCCCTGCTTAATCATGTAGGCCTTTCCATCCTTAAATACTACTTCGGTGTTTGTGTTCTGTGTCAGCTTGGTAATAGCCAGTACGTTGTGGGGTATCCCTGGCACATACAGTACCCCCTCTATTTTTCCTATTTGTGGGATGTATGTGTTTCCCTTCCCTATTACTTTGCTTTGGTTTGCTACCTTTAATTCAAAGTTTGCTTCTATAAGTGACTCTAGTAGCTTTGGGTTGCAAGTTGTGTGATTTGTGGCTCCTGAATCCAGAAGCCACGTGTCTCTGCCTGTCTTGTGTTTAGTGTCTGAGTCATCGTGTCTGAGCCCATACATAGAACCCGGGTTACTGTCTCTAGAGTTGTCCCTGCGTTCATGATGCCTCTTGGGGTTGGGGGACCACCCTTGCCCCTTTTCTTTGGGGTACCTGCGCTCAGGTTATCGCCCTCCTCTATTGTCATTGTGTCTCCTATCCCTGTGGTTTCTGGGGCAGTCTCTTCTTAAGTGGTTCCTGGACCCACAAGAGTAACATTCTGGGGTGTTTCTTGTTCTATCCTGAAACTCAACCCTTCTAGTTGGCCTGGGATCCCTCCTGGACAGGTGGCGATCCCTCCTCAGATTGTCCTCTGCAATAAGTTTGTTTGTTAATGTGCCTAGTGATAGGTGTTGCAAGCTGAGGCTATCTAGTTGGGTTACGAAATTGTCCCAACTGCTATCTAAAGAGTTTATGATGATACTTATCATGCTCTCTTCAGTGATTATTTCCCCCCTCTGCATGAGCTCTGCCCTTGTTGCGTTTAATTTTAGTATGTGCTCGCTCATGGGGACCCCTGTCTTATGTCTAGCAGAATGGAACTCTCTAGATATTCTAGTGGTTGTGGCTCTACTCTGGCTGTAAAACAGGCTGCATAATTTTTGTACAATTTCAGATACAGTCAGGTTATTTTCAATGGTAGGCTACATGGCAGAAAGAATGGTAATTAACATAATACAAAATGCCCTATGGTGAATACAGTCAATTTCCAGTGCCCAGGGTTTCTGTGGAGGTCTGTTGATTAGAAATAGTGCATTTTCTCTCATGAGAGCAATTTGCAATTGCTGACACCACTCTATGAAATTACCCCCATCTAATTGTAATTTTGGTAAATTGGCATAATTTGCCCCAGAATTGTTAGGGTAGTTACTTACTGGGGGGAGCTGTCCATGGTCCATTGT